TTTTAGTTTTCAAAAAATCTACTCATTATCTCTACCTCACCCCTGTATACTTTTATTGTGGTTCTACAAGTGAAACACATTACATGAGGGAGTAGCTAAAAGTGATTTTATAGTATCCAAAAACATAAAAAACAGTACATTCTCTCTCATGCTGTGTTTGGATTCAAAAATTTGATCAATAATTTGAAATTCTCTCAAATTCCTATAATTGTTTAGATTATTTAGTAGGTATTTGAATTTATAAATCACCAATTATTCTAATATTTAATATATATATTAATAATTGGTGAATTACAAAGTCAAATGCTTCTTAATCAATCCAAATAACTAAAGTGATTTGGGTGAATTTCAAATCCTTTATTAAATTCGTCAATCCATACAAAGCCCTAAAGTTTTTTCACGACACTATTGCATTGAAAACAGCTTTGCAAGTGAGCTAACAAACAATAAACAAAAAATTGTGCAAATAATAAATTTATTTTGGTAGTTTCAAAGAAATTGGATGGCGAAGAACTACTTCAATATTTGTAAATGATTCGAACTCGACAGAATTCAAAAATCCAATTCAAAATGCCTTTGTGCGATCAATGCTGAATATGTTAGAGGCAAACTACCAATTTATAATTTAAAAAATATACATAAATACCTAGGTTGAAGATTCAAAAACATTTTCATCTTAATTTAACATAATATATAGTGATGCATTTCCTCTTAATTAAAGTAACCAAACTTGGAAAACTTACATAAGCAAAGTTTAGGTAGCCCCAAATGCAGCAAAATGTTTGAAACAATGAGGAAGTATGATTATGTAGTCACTAATTAAAAAGGTTCATAATCTATGCTATCCCTGTCCATCTTGTAATCAATCTGAGACTAGAAATTCAGCTACCAAAACATGGTACAATGTAATTCTTAATGGGACTAGTAAATTGAAGGAAACAAAGAAATCATCTAGCAAACGCACTAAATATGCAATAAAATCATTTGATGCTAATATCACTTAATCCACCAAACCATCCAGGCTCCACATCTGCTCGAAAGTTGACTCTAGAGGGTGGTTGTGAAGCAAGTAGAGCCTCCTTAATGTTGTTTAGGATTCCTTTGTCATAGGGGTTTCCAGAGCTCACATACTTTTGGTGAAAATGCTCATAAGATGTCTGCACGAGGCATAATATAGAAACTGCATCATAATTTGTTTAAGCAGCTATTTAGACTGGGCTTCTATGTTTATGTTCCAAAGCAGAAATTTCCTCAAAGCTGTGCACTTTAAATAATTGTTGTACCAAAAATTCAGTACCGTTCTCAAAAGAATTGCCCGTTAATTAATATATTTGACATACATGAACTACAATCATGCAAGAAAAATATGCATTAATTCAAGTTTGAGATAAACCGTGATGATATAAGTACTGTTGGCATAAATGAGAGTATAAAGGGCAAACCTGGTTTATAGCAATTAGATAAACATGATAACAAGAAAAGCCGGCAAGAAAACACATGGCTACAAAACTGAATAATGTCAATGCCACTGTCTCCGGGTCATTTCTTAGCAATCCAATCACCCCATTTCCATCTCCGGGCAATTTGTGATGTAGAGATTTGCATGAGAAGATGAATATGAAGGCAAACAAGAGCAATCCTGTCAATAGAAATGTAACATGAAGCCGATAATTCCTCTGCATTTTGAAAGAAAAAAATTAGAAAGTTATAGTTAGTAAACTAATTTTAATGCCAGAAGGACTTGCAGGGTTGTGATCATACATACCAATCCCACACAATGCCCGATCCAGGTGCAATGGTGATCGAATTGTTGGATGCAATTGTTACAAGTTGCACAATGACAAGTTCTTGGTGGACGATAAATGTTACAAATGTTACAATACTTCAACTTCACCTCTATCCCATTTATGACAACTACCCTTGATCTCCTTCTGCGTTTACCAGCATCAATTGTTCCTAGATCATTTCTAGGAATTATACCAGGATCAATGGTACTGACATATACCAAGTTCACAAGAACCTGCATTGCGGGCAATATATAGTTACATCAGCAGAAGGGCATTCAGTTACGTTCACAACTTTCTCATACAAGTGTGTGTGTTTGTGTGTGTGAAATTTAGTTTAGGACTAACAATTGTTGTCAAAATTGAAGATGTTACGATGATGGCCGGATTCCTTATGTCACTTGCAACATGAACCGCAAATGTCCAACTTGATAGACTAATAGCAATGGCAGCTAAAATCAGCCCTTTTGGATCCGGACCACAAATCAGTCTCCCTTTGAAAAAGAATACCTACATTCAGAATAAGACGTCCGACATCAAATCCTCCTCTCTTTTTTTTTTTTGCGTAAGCATCAAATCCTCCATTTCTCATTTCATTTAAACCAATAAACTAAAAGCTTTATCAAGATTCAGCAAGTGCAATGATAAGAAATAGCTTTGGAATGTAAAGCAAGAGCAAATGGAGGATTACATTGTTTCCAGGCCAAAAATGGTAAACTCTTGATTGTTCAAGTTCGTCGCCGCCTCGACAAAATCGAAAAGTTTTTTCTTGAACCACCCTTTGGAATCTAATTATTTTCTCCCAAAGAGAAGAAAGCAGTTGCTTGCTTTTTGCTTGAAAACTAACTTCAGAATTCTTATCTACCTTCTTTCCTGATGACATAGAACTTTCTGTAGGTTGATCAATTTCTAATGAGGCAGAACTATCGATAGCTTGAGCGACTGAAGAATTTACGCTGCCGTCTTTCTCTTCACTCGCCATCCACTCCATTCTCTCTGATTTCTACCATCTAGACTCAAATTAAGAACTTCAATTTGTAGACGATAACCACCCCGGGTGAAACTTGTCACTTGTGACTGGAAAAGATATTTCAGAAAACTAAAGCGGTTATTATTTTGTGTTCATTAGGTCCAAGCCATCGGGTTAAAGTGTGCACGCACCACCCGGATGCAATATAAAGGAAAATAAGCCCGTCAACTCACTGATCCATTTTGCACACCTGTCAAATTGGGCTCGGGGAGGAGCCCACTGAAATGGATGGCTCAGCGGATTACCAATGGATGCTAGATTGAACCAGCAGATCACTATAATAAAGGGTGTGTTTGGACAGGAGATTATTTGAATTAATTACTATAATATTTTTTATGATATGATATATATGAAATAAAAATTTGTATTGAAAAATGTGTTTGTAATGCAAGTAAATAATTTTTTGACAAATAGCTGCAATCGAAACATAGCTGTGGTTTTTTAATACAAAATATGTCATATGACATCACTAAATAATGTTATAGTAAATTTTTACTTAACTTAACGAGTTATAGAATGCTAATAATTGTGAGATTTATGACAAATAAAAATGTAATTAGTAATCCACCCATCCTTAGTTTTAGTATGAATCTTGTTAAGAAGTTATAAGTATACAAATGCCATTCAGAGTGATCTTCGTTTTGAGAATTAATGGTTGTAATATATCATTTTGTTAATATATTTCTAATTTGTAAAACAGATTTTGAGCAACAAGTTTTAGTAAAAATTTCCAAATGAGTTTTTGTTAGGAAAGGCACGAGTGTCCACCAACACGGCTAAGTGTCCACCAACACCAACGCCTGGATAGTTCCCAGAAGGAAAGGCATGAGCAAAGCTTTCCTCAGCAATGGGATACTGCAATTCGCCAATTGTTGCACCAGACTCAACCCAAGCACTATTTCCTTCAATATCAACGCTAATTGACCTAAGTCAAGTATGATGAATGGAACTTCAGACCTATAGGACGTGCCCTCAGAATCATGGCCGGCCGTTCGAATCCTCATTTGTTCTCCATTTCGTTTGCAACATATGACTGTTGCTTCAACGTGACATATAGTATTCTAGAGGAGTGATTATTGCCAAAGGTTTTGCTTTTGTGCTTGATACAGAGAACCTAAGTTTTTTGATTGAAGATTCCACGATGGGTAAATAAGAAGAGTTGTTGGGGAGATAAAAGAACATTCAGAGCTGAGATGTTTGATGACATGAAGCTATCAGGAATCGAACTTGAGTGTGATGATGGAATTAGTAAGGAAAACAAGGCAGTGAATAACAGAAACAACAGAACTTTAGACGTTTCTGTCACCATTTTGGTCTATGATTCCCATTAGACACAATGTAGACTCAAAACAACTATGAATTGCTCATCTTATTTATATCCATTACAATTGGCTGGGACTGATTGTCAAATAAATTAAGAAATACATGCAAACTTGGCCTGCAGACCCGCTTTAAAAAAAAAAAAAACCTGTATTCTCTCTCTTGCATTGTAAGAAATCGTGATTGTAAGACTTATTCTCAAGTGAAGACCCAAGCTGGCTCCGAATATGCAGTACTGGTCATTTAAGATTTTTTGCATTCCCAATCTTGTATCAATTAAATATACAAGTCTGCCTAGTTAATAAAATTTGTTAATTTGGGGCTCTCTTATCTTGTCAATTTGGGACAAAAATTTTGGTAGTTTTAATCTTAATAACTAGGCAGACTTGTTCTTTGCTCAAAACATATATGCAGTCAATGTATTTTTGGAATGTCTATTACGAAAAAGCCATTTATTTTGTCCTTCTTTCAGGGTTGCCTCCGGCAATAAAAAGCCAAACGTCAAACTTGTGGAACCTTTGATGTAGTCTCACCAAGGAACCATGCATATTAAATAGAGGTGTCAGTTTGTCCCAAGTCCTAATGGACTACCCATACCTAAAGGGATTTTGGGCGGAATGGGTATTGCAATTTGATATTGAGTTTAAAATGAGACATATTCCAATGATACCCATTAATTGATGGGAAATGTTGGGAAATACTTGGGTACCCATTGGTCTCAAATATCTTCCCAAAAACGTGTATTGATCAAAGTATTGAAACCCCAGGCTCTGCCCGAGTGAAAATCTGGCGGCCAGCGCTTCCTGGTTGGCCTTACCAAGCACGGCGAGCACGGTGGCAAGCATGCGGGGATTAGGGGAGTACCAATGGCAAAGATTCAGCCATTCGTAGACCTCTGCCAACTGGTCTGCCCGACCCATTTGACCACAAAACAGAAATCCGTAGGAGTCATCTGAACCATCTTCTCATCAAGCATGTCAGCAACAAACTCCTCTGTATGTTCATCTGAAGAAACTTGACAAAGCAGCTGAGAATTTGAAACTATTTAAGGCTGATTTGCTGGATTACAACTCCATTTCTGCGGCCATCAGGGGCTGTGATGATGTATTTCATGTAGCTAGTCCTATTCCTTCAGGCTCTGTTCCCAATCCTGAGGCAAGACCATTTTCAATTTTTTCAATTGCTATGATATTTCTACCTTTGGTTTCCCCATAATAACATTTTTAACATATCTTTTGCTTATGGGAGACAGCTATTGTCATAACAGATTATATTTCTTTGCGTTTTGCCAAACATGAGCTAAAGTTGTGTATCGTTCAAAACAGGATCCTGTTAAAGCTTTTGTACAAACTTATGAAGTCACTGGGGCTCTTTGCCTTTCTATCTATTTATGGAGGGAATTTCAAATGTTGAAATGAGTGAATAAATGCACATAATAATAACTGATGCTGGTAACCAAGTTAATCGCTGGCATAAGCAGTCATGAGTCTTTAACTTTGTACTTTATAATACTACCATGGAACTTTTCATGCACAACAAACATAGATCAGATTGCAAAATTGAAATTGCAATCTAGATAATTTGTAGTACTGTGGCTGATGTAGTGTTGTGCTTCATGAGCAGATGCAGCAGAAGTTTCTGATTCTAATCCTATTGCTCTAGGTGGTTGTAAGTTTTTGGGTTGTGTTCATGCTATTTAATAGGTTCCAATCGATCAACAAGGTAGTTTAGAACCTGAAGATGACTATAGTCAAGCAAGCCATGCAAGTTCTTCTAAGCAAGCCATGAATTTTGACGATCAAGCTACGTACGGTTGCTTTCTGGAGAAAAAAAGACCTGGATTCTTGTTTTTGAGTCTTAAAGGTTGGTTCTCTGTCTTTTCTTGCTCTCTGCAGCTCTGGTTTTTGGAAGGGCAAAACAAGTGATTTTTCTTTTTCTTTTTCTTTTTCTTCCTTTTTTCCTTTAACGAGACTATAGTTGATAATTAGAACTTATCTGCATTGATACTTAGTCATTGCCCAACTTGTACTTAAAGTTATTTAAAAAATAAAAAATGAATTAAAGGAAAAAAAATATGTAGAAAATAGATTTGGGTATTGGGTGGAATCAATCTAAACCCATCCCAAAGTGATCCCGCCCAAATTAGTTCCAAAACACATATGGATAAGGTTGAATCCAAACTCATATGACTCGGTTCCATCTCAAACCCAAGCAAATTCCCCCTATCCCGCCCATTTTGTCACCTCTAATATTAAGGTTAATATCTATTATTGTCTCATTTAATTTAGATTAATAGCTTTTATGTGATCTTGTCTGATTTTCTTGCCTGCCAAATTCCATGACCAATCTGTCATTAAATACGTACATTACTAGTTACCAACTCTATTCACCTTTAAAATAAGTGTCATTTGCTTCGATGTCTTTCATGTTGGATTATGCTAAATACCCCTTAAAAATGTAGAAAATCTGAATTAGAATGTGTTTGAAAGCATGATGATTAAGTGGTTTCAATGTGACATCCATCCCACATCCTTTGTTTTGGTTCTTTAGTTATATTAACTTAGGACACAACACACAGAATGTAAGCCAATTTTATTTTGTCCCATAAAAATTGTAAATTCGCAATGCTAAAGTATTAGCAACTTAGTAGATTAAGTTTAAATACTGATTTGAGTTATCAAACAAGGGTTAAGTGATTTCAATATGACATCTATCCCTTATTTTTTGTCTTGGTTCTTCAATTACATGCACTTAGGATACAACACAAAGAATGCAAGCCAATTTTATTTTGTCCAATAAAAGTTGTAAATTCTCTATGCTACTACTTAGAAGATAAAAGGGAATGCTAGAACTTTATATCTTCTTTTTTTTTCAACAAACGTTAACATTTTTTTATAGATATTAACACTTGATAATACAAGAGTTAATTACAAAAAGGAAAAACTACCCTCATATCTTTTCTGACTAAATCTAATAGCCATGCTGGGAATGATCCTTCCCACTCAACATTCCTAATCAACTTGACTGCAAATTGAGCCAGAGAATGACTACAACCATTTGCAGTTCTGGGAGCAAAAGAAAATATGCAACAATCAAAAATCTGTTTTAGGTCCTCAATGTCTTCCAGGATTGACATGTTGTCGTAGCCTGTACAATAATAAAATTAAACCTAATTGCCAGTTAAAATAATCAAAATCCAATTCCAAGTACTGGAACTAGGGCTGCAAACGAATCGAGCGGCTCGAGCCAGCTCGAGCTCAAACTCGAGCTCAGAATATTAAGCCCGGCTCGCGAGCTTGAGTATATATATATATTTTTTATTTTTATTTTTATTTAATAATAAAATTTCGTATATTATATATATTTTTTTATTTTTTATTTTCATAGTGAAATTACGTATATATCCTTAATATTTTATTATTTATTCAAAAAAAATATTATTTTATTTATTTTTTTAAAAAATATATATATTTTTTATTTTTTTCGAGCTCGAGCTCGAAAATTGCCAGCTCGTCGAGCTCGAGCTCGAGTTTGGTAAAATTTAGTCGAGACTCGGCTCGATTAGCTCAAAACTCGACTCGATTCGGCTCGTTTGCAGCCCTAACTGGAACAGGGACTCTAGGTGTGCAATGGGATACTTGATTCATCCTATTCCCGAAGAGTTTGCTTGATCCGATATACCCGAATGAGTTAGCTTTTTCACAAATAATTATGAATTTGTAGACAGTGCAAGTAGAGTCGTATCCTCAGGTGACAGGTGCCGAACCTGTGCAATAATAATAAATAAATCCTAACTACCACCTGAAACAGCTAATAATCAATTCGAGTACTGGAGCAGGGACTCTAGGTGTGCAATGGGTTACTTGATTCACCCTGTTCCCGAAGAGTTTGCTTAATCCGATATACCTGAATTAATTATTTAACTGAACTCCCTAACTAGTAGACAGTGGTAAGCAGGGTCGTCTCCTCAGGGACTGGAGAAATATTTGCTTCTTTTCAAATCAAGATTAATGGGGGGGTTTTGGTATCAAAAGCCAACCGAACAAATTAAATGCAGAAAATAATTAATTAAAAGAAATAATTAAGAGAAACTCTAGCCAAGGGTATACTTCAGAAATGGTTCAAGCACTGATCATTGATGCAAAAATAATTCCAACATTTATTAATAGATTGGTTATAGTTGTCTCGCACGCGCTAAACAACCAACCCTTCCTTAATTTATCGATAGCTAAGGTACGACCGTTAGCTATTTCTCTAACCCAAAAACAACCCTAGGTACGACCGTAGGATTTAATTTCCAGGTTGCATTAATAATTAGAAAGGCCCAATCCTAACCAATAAACACGCTACGAGGGTTTATTTAAACTAGATCATATATTCCCCTGACATAAACCCAATTATGCCAGTTGCTACTGGGATAGAGGCAACGAACAATTACGGATTCAGTTACCCCTATTTAGCAAAATAGCCTATATGAATAATTAATTATTGCGCACTAATCAATCATACACAAGAGCTATAACAGTTAAAAGCAGAAAACATATGAATACCAATAAATGGAGGAAACAATTAAAAACGGCTTAGATCTCACAGTACTCGGTGAACCAATTCGTCAGTTGCTCCCTCGGCTAGAATTAGCGGATTAGCCCTCCATTAATGAAGGACAAGCTACGCGGGGAGAATCAGGATACGTCGCTGTATCGGACCTTTTTCGTTTGGTCAAGAGCGGAAGTCCAGAACAAGAAGTTTTGATTTCTTGCACTTGTCTCCGAAAGCCCAAGCGTATGAAAGGCAGATTGCTCTGTGGTTGTCGTCAACAAAAGTGGAAACCAAAGCTTAGAAAAGTCAATAACGGCGGCTATTCTTTTCTTCTCTCAATTTCTACCAAAGCATACGAGAGAAAAGTCCTCCAATTCATTGATTTTGGTCCAAAGTAATCATAAGCTAAAGAATTCTAGAGTCAACATGAGATGGGAAAAAAACATCCAAAAGTCAAGAATTGTGGCTTTGTTCTCTGCCGTTTCTCCCTACAAAGCTGCGGCCGTCTAGCCTTCTTCCCGAGCCAAGGAAAAAAAACAAAAACAAAGAGAAAAGGGACCCCCCTAACCTAAGCCGCGCGAGAGATAAAATAGTATCCCCAATAGCCGGGAATTGTTATTTGTCCCCAAAATTGCAGCCAGACTCCCTAGGAATATCTTAAAATAAAATCTATTACAATTAGGTTTCTTCAGCTTCTCAAACGGGCCCCACGTCCGATGAATCTTCTAAAAGTTGAATTTAAGCACTTTTCAGCAACCGTTCCTGCAATTAGCACCAAAACAAAATATCAGTAGAATCCACCCAATTAACGAAAATATTTAGTCAATTAATTGTGCAATAATGCCCGAAATATCCACTAAAATGCAACCTATCAATCTCCCCCACACCTGAACTATGCTTGCCCTCAAGTATAATTAACTCAGAAGTACAATCAAGATACGAAGCTAATCACAGCAGTTCATACCAGAAACGGCATCCCAAATTCCCCAATAACCTCATCGAAATCAGAATATACCAAATTAACAATGCTCACAGTTCAAAGTGCACTCATTCACTCCAAAGTGTATATGAGATGTATATAAGATGGCTCTCAAATCAACACAATAGAATGACACTACCATAAGCTTGCTCGTATATCATATCTCCACCACTTGCTCATGAATTAAAATGCAGCAATCAAGGGGCTTTGCAAGGTTGTAATGGGGTTAGGGTGAGAAGGTAGGATTAAAAGGAGTCAAAAGGGTGCAAAAGTGTAAAGAAAGTGCCCAGAAATTCATTACATAGATTCTTGCACATTTGAAATTTAAAGGCATCTCAACCACCACACAAGTGAATCTTTTCATTCATCGACTTCCCCTCCTTTTTTTTCCTTTTTTTTTCGAGAGCTCCGAACCAGCACCACGATTTACTTGCTGGTTTCCTGCACTCTTTCTTCTTTTCACATCCCCTTTTTTTCTGTTTTTTTTTTCATAAATGGGTGTAATGCCTCCCGAATAATACACCAAAATTCTGTATAACGAAATCAGAGCACCTCTTCACACGAGGTTCAAATAGGAAGTCTAAAAAGAGGTTTGTCGGCTAACAACTAGGGTCTCAAGCAAAGAATAGGATGTAAAGCTCAACTTGGCTCCCTAATGGTAAATAATCCAAGGGTTGGTTTTAAAAAAGTCCAAAAATGGCTCATTCCTAGGTGCCCTATCATTTCAATGCATTAAATTCATTTAAATGTGATCTCGACATGCATAACCGAGCAAGTTCTAGAATGACAAATCATGTGCACTAACCACTCAAAAATCGAAAAATTAGGCTCAAAAATCGCACAAGTGGATCAAATTAATGTCAAGTTCAGCATATTCATCAATCAATTAAGTATCACGGAAAATAGAACACCCCATGGCATGAACTTACTATGTACGCTCATATCCCAATTTGCATTCATCATCGTTTAAAGAAAGGAACTACTAAGGCAAGGAAGAACTTAATCAGACAACTAAAAACACAACCAAAGCATAGTTAACCCTCCCCCACACCTAAACCTTACATTTGCCCCAATGTAAGCAAAGTAAGACCAAATCAGAGGTACTGGGGCAACGACACTTCCCTTAAAACGGAGGAGGGCAGAAATGAATCATGGCTGCGGAGGAAAAGGCGGGCGGAAACCCACGTGATGGAGATACTGCGCTATATTCCGGGCCATCCCGCCCATTTGACGCTCCATCCGATCCATACGAGTGTCCATGTGCTACATCTGGAACCGGAGGGCCGCTAGCTGGCTATCGACAGAGGAAGATGGCGGAGGTGCCGAAGAGGACGGTCCGGGGGCATTCGTGGACGTACCACCAGCCTCCGGGGCAGCGGATTTGGAAGCTTTGCGCTTCGGAGGAAC